GTGTACAGCAGTGTTACATTCACCGTACGTGACAACAGGTGTCCGTGTACAGCAGTGTTACATCTACTGTACCACACATTAGGTGATCGTGTACAGCAGTGTTACGTCTACTGTACCACACATTAGGTGATCGTGTACAATAGTGTTACATCTACTGTAACACACATTAGATGATCGTGTACAGTACTGTTACATCTACTGTAACACACATTAGATGATCGTGTACAGCAGTGTTAGATCTACTGTAACACACATTAGGTGATCGTGTACAGCAGTGTTACGTCTACTGTAACACACATTAGATGATCGTGTACAGCAGTGTTACATCTACTGTAACACACATTAGATGATCGTGTACAGCAGTGTTAGATCTACTGTACCACACATTAGGTGATCGTGTACAGCAGTGTTACATCTACTGTAACACACATTAGGTGATCGTGTACAGCAGTGTTACGTCTACTGTACCACACATTAGGTGATCGTGTACAATAGTGTTACATCTACTGTAACACACATTAGATGATCGTGTACAGTAGTGTTACATCTACTGTAACACACATTAGATGATCGTGTACAGTACTGTTAGATCTACTGTAACACACATTAGGTGATCGTGTACAGCAGTGTTACGTCTACTGTAACACACATTAGATGATCGTGTACAGTAGTGTTACATCTACTGTAACACACATTAGGTGATCGTGTACAGCAGTGTTAGATCTACTGTACCACACATTAGGTGATCGTGTACAGCAGTGTTACGTCTACTGTAACACACATTAGGTGATCGTGTACAGCAGTGTTACGTCTACTGTACCACACATTAGGTGATCGTGTACAGCAGTGTTACATCTACTGTAACACACATTAGGTGATCGTGTACAGTACTGTTACATCTACTGTAACACACATTAGGTGATCGTGTACAGTAGTGTTACATCTACTGTAACACACATTAGATGATCGTGTACAGCAGTGTTACATCTACATACGTGTACAGTACTGTTACATTAGTACGTGACAACAGGTGTCCGTGTACAGCAGTGTTACATCTACTGTAACACACATTAGGTGATCGTGTACAGTACTGTTACATCTACTGTAACACATATTAGATGATCGTGTACAGTACTGTTACATCTACTGTAACACACATTAGGTGATCGTGTACAGCAGTGTTAGATCTACTGTAACACACATTAGGTGATCGTGTACAGCAGTGTTACATCTACTGTACCACACATTAGATGATCGTGTACAGCAGTGTTACATCTACTGTACCACACATTAGATGATCGTGTACAGTAGTGTTACATCTACTGTAACACACATTAGATGATCGTGTACAGTAGTGTTACATCTACTGTAACACATTAGATGATCGTGTACAGCAGTGTTACATCTACTGTAACACACATTAGATGATCGTGTACAGTAGTGTTACATCTACTGTACCACACATTAGATGATCGTGTACAGCAGTGTTACATCTACTGTAACACACATTAGGTGATCGTGTACAGCAGTGTTACATCTACTGTGATCGTGTACAGCAGTGTTACATCTACACACATTAGATGATCGTGTACAGCAGCAGTGTTACATCTACTGTAACATGACATTAGATGATCGTGTACAGCAGTGTTAGATCTACTGTACCAACACATTAGGTGATCGTGTACAGCAGTGTTACATCTACTGTACCACACATTAGGTGATCGTGTACAGTACTGTTACATCTACTGTACCACACATTAGGTGATCGTCGTGTTACAGTACTGTTACATCTACTGTAACACACATTAGGTGATCGTGTCGTGTACAGCAGTGTTACGTCTACTGTAACACACATTAGGTGATCGTGTACAGCAGTGTTACGTCTACTGTACCACACATTAGGTGATCGTGTACAGCAGTGTTACATCTACTGTAACACACATTAGGTGATCGTGTACAGTAGTGTTACATCTACTGTAACACACATTAGGTGATCGTGTACAGTACTGTTACATCTACTGTAACACACATTAGATGATCGTGTACAGCAGTGTTACATTCACTGTACCACACATTAGGTGATCGTGTACAGCAGTGTTACATCTAATGTACCACACATTAGGTGTTCGTTAACAGCAGTGTTACATCTACTGTAACACACATTAGGTGATCGTGTACAGCAGTGTTACGTCTACTGTACCACACATTAGGTGTTCGTGTACAGCAGTGTTACATTCACTGTACGTGACGATAGGTGTTCGTGTACAGCAGTGTTATATTCACTGTACGTGACGATAGGTGTTCGTGTACAGCAGTGTTACATTCACCGTACGTGACGATAGGTGATCGTGTACAGCAGTGTTACATTCACCGTACGTGACGATAGGTGATCGTGTACAGCAGTGTTACATTCACTGTACGAGACGATAGGTGTTCGTGTACAGCAGTGTTACATTCACCGTACGTGACGATAGGTGATCGTGTACAGCAGTGTTACATTCACCGTACGTGACGATAGGTGTTCGTGTACAGCAGTGTTACATTCACCGTACGTGACGATAGGTGTTCGTGTACAGCAGTGTTACATGACAGCCAGCAGTTTTATAAGCAACAGTATCTCACCGACTGTGCTTATCCCAGGGTGTTTGTTCATAAGCAACATTATTCTACTAACTTAACAAGGCTACACTTTCGTTATACTAAATTAAAAAAGACGATATAACGAAAAACTACAGCCTTTCTGAACGTGGAACGTGGAAGCCAACTAGGTCATTGTTGAAGCATATCAGATGAGTCCAATGGCCCACGGAATGACAATTTTTAACAAATGAGTGAAGTTGTTGTGAACCAATCAAAGATATCTTTCACTGTAACACATAATCAGATCTGAACGCCGATATAAATTAAATGCCCAACCAGCGTTAACAGATCTCACTAAGTTAGAATAGAACAGCGTCCCAACAAAGCGTTCCGAGCACTAAAAGACCGTAATTGCGATAATCCAACATCCAATACGATCAAGTTACTGTAGCAGGGCGTGGAGTCATCCCACAGGTGACATCCTTACCTTGTCAGCTTGCTGACGGGGTTAACCTCTTTGGTCATGTGGACAAGGCGTCCGTCTTCGGATCAGAAGGTCCGTGGTTCGAATCCCAGCACGGGACTCGGAAAGTTTATGGCCGCTGCATTGGCGCCCAACACGGGGCTGAGCACGTTCATATGAAATTTGAGCAAAATAAGTCTCAGTACCCAACTATGCGGCTCGGGACGTGCCTTCTGTTGACGGGGGTGTATGTAGCAGGGCGTGGAGTCATCCCACAGGTGACATCCTTACCTTGTCAGCTTGCTGACGGGGTTAACCTCTTTGGTCATGTGGACAAGGCGTCCGACTTCGGATCAGAAGGTCCGTGGTTCGAATCCCAGCACGGGACTCGGAAAGTTTATGGCCGCTACATTACAGTCGTCGTAGCTCTTAGATCGTATAGGGAAACGGGGTCCTGGACATAAATATGAAAGAACAAACTTTACATGAATAGACTTTTATTCATCACAGATAAATCTGTACAATATATATAAATCTCTAAAATTCTCAACATTGTACGAAACAATGGCTTTGTGTCCTACGTGCCAAAGGAACAGTTTGTTAATTGACAAAATATGTTTACATAACAGTTATGGATTTAACAGTGCAGTGAAACAAGGACGTTAAGAGTAAATTAGGGAGTTGTGAATAGTGCTCAATAACAGGAACTTATTGCACAGACATTAACAAAATTTGGAACAACATATCATCATGTGTATATTGGCTGAAACATGTCAATGACTGTATCCTATATACAATGTACTTTCTTGTTCCGACCTATTCAGTTGTAATATCAAAGTAAAAACTGTATGCGCATGCTCACTGATCATAAAGATATGGTCATTTATTTCATGACAGATTACATTATATTCCACTGGCACAATGTTGACACAAACTGAACTTTTCTTGTGCATAAAGCAACATTTTTGACTAGAAAACAACACATTTACTTCTTAGAACATATACAGTTTTGGACAAGTTTTGGCAATCTGAATACAAAGGCATTTTAAATACATAAATATACAGAGAATGTAATAATATTGATGTACAAAAGTATGAATGGAACTCAGTCGCAATGATAACTTTTGTGAAGTAAAATATGCATTATCTTTTCATTAATGTGTGTTCAGACACATTGGCAACATCACGGTGAAATAAGGTCTTATTAATGTTAAAATCGAATCTTGATTTCACTGAAATGTATAGAATGGTCTTAAATATTAACGTATGTAAACAGAATGTCATCAATTGTACAACACTTGGAGTAAATACAAACATAAGTCAGATATGGAATGGAATGAACCATCAACATATGAAACGTCATCATGAACAAATATAATCGCGATTTTTTCATGAGAATTAGACTACTATTTTAACACTGAATAACAAAAGCCGATAACAGTAGGGGTTAAACAGTGTTTTAGCTACAATACAAAATGTCATATTGCGTTTAAAGCTTTCCACGTGTGAGGAAACGAAGTCTGGTAAATATGAACAACAAATACCCTGTCCACTCGGTGTACGCGCAGCTGTAGCCTAAACACAGTAAAGTAGACTGTATACAAGTTTTGAGTAGGACTGGTTACCGGTACAAGGAAGGTTTTCATGCACTACAGAGCAGGGGCACATATGGCCAAGTCTCTGAGGCATGGTTTGACAGCACCGTTCCCATGCTCATGAGATTCGCCACAGTAGTAAAGACATGCATCATATAGGGCTTCTCTATCACATCAACCTGTGAGTTAACTGATGTACTTTTCAAAATGGCTTCACAACTACAAAACTGAAAACGACTGTTTAAACGAAAAGTTAATTTAAGAGTGTCTATAAGAATATATTATACTAAAACTTTAGAAAATCATCTGCAGAATGTATTCCATATACGTTCATTTTTCAAATGTGTGGCGAAAGCTTTATTGATAAACGAATTAAAACATAATTGATAACAAAAATATCATCTAACGTAAGACGTGAGCCCAGTCTCATCCAAATTTACCTGGGTCCAACGTAATATCTCATATTTGGAAAACTTCGAAATAGAATATAACAAATGCAATTTATGGGTAAAGACTTACGACACAACAAACAAAATATAATGCCTTGTATCGATGACTCATGAGACAAAAATCCAAAACGGTATCACGAAATTTATAATTACATTCAATAGAAAACCCATCATTTCAACATGTCAGATGCTTCAAAACATTCATTTGATATATATGCAAAAGGAAAACTTTCCTTTTTACTTATTTTACAATTTATTTTTTTCTAGTACACGAAGAAAATTTCTTTATGGAACAATACATATTTTACAGGATACTCCCGGGCTGTCCCCATCCACCATTTCCCCTCCCTACCCCCTTAAATTCGGGTCACCTATTGTCCTTCATCTGAACAAACTCTTCCGTTTTTCGGCATATAGAAATATCACGTTGTATAACACTCCTTTATTGTCAAATGAACTACAGATTCCAAAGATTTCGAATCAGTTTCCTTTTTTCTACATTTATCAAACAACAGATATGATTATGATATACATTGATTGGCCAGTGAAATATATGAATGTCTTACAATACTATGAATTACAAAGATGTTATTTTTCTATTTTCATTAAAAGTAAGAATTCTATTGTAAACATGAGATATAAATATAATAGCTAGTAGCAATAATGACGTGCAGACTATTGCTTTGAGACACAATTCGTGTTCAGACAGTTGACCAGAGTGTTATTTACATGACATTAAGGTAATACATTTCAACGCGACAGATATGTGTATGCAATGTATCAGACTGTTTGGTCAACAGAGCATACAAAAACACGCCTTCCAGACGCAATAAGTAACGGTGGTGAGATCTAGGTTTATGATACGTTTCACTGTGACAGCACACTCTAGACTCCTGTAACAGAGATGCATTTGTACAAAACATTATGCATGAGACTCCGTATAGTGATGGTACACAATGCTATTACAACAAAAGAACATTAGTTATCAAACCAAACATTGAAAATCACTGTCGTGGAAAAATGCTGAAATAAATATGGATACAAAGAGCGTAGCATACATTTTGCAGCGGAGTTGTAAACATGTGACTTATAGCTTACACTGGAGTTCCTTCTGGAATAGGGCGTTCTGGTGACAAAGGGTACAACCGAGACGAGGTACTAGGTGCAAACATATATGAACTTAAAACCTGATACTGACAGAATAGAGGTTCTAAAGGTAATGTGTATTGTCAACGATATCTGTAAAACAGAGAAGAAAGAATGTTCAAATTTGTAAGACAAAGGAATGAGTGCAAGATGTTTATCAGAAGACATATTGGAGGATACAAATGCATTTTAAGCAGTTCCGATAAGAAGACTTCCTGATGCATCGTCATCTTCTGATGTCCTCATCCAGAATCCACAAGAAGCCACCATTCATGTGTGTTATGACCACCAAATCACACCAGCACGGTCGATATCAACACGATATAAACATTGTATGTTCAGTAATTCAGGGTTTTTGGTGAAGTTTAGTATCAAGATACGTGTGGACATTATACAAATACTGACATTTACAGGGGGTTACAGTCACGTGATCAGCAGGTTGCCATGGAAACAGTAGTGTCAAGAACATATTTTCCCAGTTTTGATGATGGGATGCCAGTAGTCCGCAGAGCGATGTGGGTGTTCCATAATCTCATACCAATGCTCTAGCTGCTCGCCATGGCTGTACCAACCAAGGTCAACCTGAAAAGGTCAAGGTCAGAATATAACGGAAAAGGACTCACAAAGGATTGACTGACGTTATTGTGGAGGAAGGGGGTAGGGAAAGGTGACAACAGCGATTACAAACCCAGTATTGTTCACTGGTGTCAACAAGCCATACATACTCATACAAGAATATAATATGAATTTGTTTTTTTAGTTTGTTGGTTTCTCGTTTAACGCCGCGTCTAGCAATATTCCAGTTACATGACCGTGATCGAGTCTGACCCGGAAAAACCAGGATTCGACTGCATGAGCATCAATCTACACAATTAGAATACAATGACATGTGTCAACCAAGTCAACGAGCCTGATCACCCGATCCCGTTAGTCGCCCCTTACGACAAGAATGGGTTACTGAAGACCAGTTGTAACCCGGATCATCACGGGTATATAAATATGTACCAATGTGAGAGACATGTAATATTTCACAAGCAATCAGAAGCATGCAGTTATTTTGGAATGTTTGAAAGTTTGTCAATCGCTCAGATAACCCTTTCATTCAAAGGATTAACAAATTGCTTGCATTCCGGTGTCAGTTCCTCGACGAAGTACCTGATTGAAACCTGATTTTCTGCACACAGACAGAAATAATTTCGATCAATTCTCCAAGTGTCCATTCAATCACTATAATGTTGCAACTTTATTTTAGCCACTGTCACATATCAGGTCACAACGCAAGAACAAATACTCATTTCATTGTTGTCCAAAATCAATACTGTTGTTGCATACAGCTTTATCTCCTGAACATTTTGATGTGTGGCAAAGGGTGTGAGATTGAATAACTATCTTTGCAACTTAACGACCTCGTCAGCTTACACTTGCAAGCTGAAGCCAGCAGTTTTTTCAACATGAAACCTTTTGTGATGATAAAATTCCTTCTTCGAGCCAATGGTAACACGTCATCCATCAAATTTACCGCTTATATATTGATTTTGCTGTCGTCAAAACCATCCGCCCATGCTACAAAACACGTGGAGCATACTATTTGCAAGTCCTCAAACCAAACTTTATATTCCCAGGTACTTAATCTGTCAATATCGCATCAGTAGTTAATCAGCATCATAGAACACGTGTGTCACTTCTTTTAAACCTGCGTCATATGACATACCTACTCCAACCTCGAACCTTGTAATCATACGTTGATAACATCACACTGCTTCCTATTAACGTTGCTATAAATATAATATTTTCCTAGACTTTTTTCATTTCTCTTTCATCCTCCAGAAGAGCTCTTAACACGATAATATATAGTTATGTGCATCCTAACTATACTCAAACATGAAATATTACTGTAAAAGTCATTCGTCTATAGGAAACCTGTACATAGGAAACTCGCTTAATAATGGTTCAGGGTTATTATAATCTCAGCGCTGTGGCGCAAGCATCACCCTTGCTTGCTACTTCGTATCTCACTACAAAACTAGAGCTAGTGACGGCGAGTAATCACTGGATCTCGTTTCAGAACAAATCTAATATCATCGCAGTAATATAACGGGAAAGGCTCTCGTGGCCATAATTTGCTTAGTATATTTCATTGGCATGAAAAGGATCCAAGAGCCTTGCTTCATCTCTGAAATAGTCTCAAGTTGACAAGTAAGGGTTTTAAGTAGGTCGATGATTGCTTTCAATCATTGCGTAACGTGACGTTCGTTGGCTATGGCTTGCGTTTGCTTCAACACATCATATCAACATACACGTTGACAAAACGTCATATTTGCACGGAAAGTAATCCTGAAATAGCATTTCGTAAGTCCGTAAGGGTTTCTTATCTCTTAATTGACTTAGGAACGAACAGTTTCTCGTCGAAGTGATTGTGAATGAAGGGAATGAAGCACAATGGCTGCTTCTGCAGTTAATAACGCGTTGTTGAGAGGTGATATGTTGTCATGATCAGGGTTTGAGATAACACAGAGCGTTGCTGAAACCTGGGAACATGACAGCTGGCCTTTGTAATGACTGATCTCTCCACAGGGCATGCTGCCCACACTTGCTCAACTGTTGCTAACAGTTTGAATTCAAGGTTCGTTTAAGGAAATTCAATGTTCCAAGAAATAGAAAAACGGTTTTCATTGAGTATATATAAATTATATTCACTTCAGTATTTCTGAAGGAGGAACCCTTCTTTTTAATCTGAAACAAATATATATCCCCTAGTATTTTATTATATCAATATTACTTTTTTCTATATGGAAAGTCCAGTGGTCAAGTGGTTAGAACGGTTTGTTTTGTTAAGCTCAGGTCCTGGTTCGAATCCTAAACTACAATGAGCGTTTCTGGTTTCCCCCGCTTTTATATCGCTGGAATATTCCTGAAAGCGGCATAAAAACAAATCCATCCACCCACTCACCCTATTGAAGTGTCAAGAGACGCCATTATCACTGTGACTGTGAATGTCATTAAGCGTCATAATATTAATTCATATTACTTCAACAACGTAAAGCTGCAGAACGTGAGAAATTAAGGGATATAGGGTTTAGCTAGTTCCCGTGGCGTGAGTCCAGCTTGCTTGGCCACTTTGACATCTTTTCATAGATGAGGTTAGTATCGTTCTGTTAAATGAATAATCCGTTGTAACTGACACGAGTCGTAAAGGCAATAATTTGTAGGAAAGGAATAAATATCCTTTTATGAAAAATAATTTAAACTAACTGTATGCCAAGACATAATTTAAAAGGGCTATTTAGAGCACACGACTGACCTTCCACGCACTTGTAACATATGAGTGAATAAAAGCCATTTAAATATTCCGCCATATTTAAGCTCACTCGACCAGAATGCACAATTCGTAGTTAACAAAGTCAATAAAGACGTTACTTCAGCTTCCTGACTGACTTGCAAGACAATCAAATGGATCACACCAATGTACCCGTGGACGTTAGATGTGTTAACAGGATTAATATCGGTGATAACACAAGTAGGTAGCAGGTTCGTGTATGGCAAACATGGTTTAATAATAGCTAGGATTCTGTTCTTAAAGAATAACAGACTCTATTTGTGATAACGTAATCTGTTATTTGTAAGAAGTGCGATCTCAATGCAATGAACTTCCCTTTGTGTTATATATGACTATATAAAATTTAATCAAGAAACCATTAACCGTTTACTTGTCAATATATATGATATATAAATGCATTATTCCATTACACAATGACTTTTCTCGGTTGAGTTCCATGAATGTGTTCTCTACTGTCTCCTTTCCGGGACACAGATTTGGTAAACAAAACCGATTTTCAGAGATCCATTCATAGGTATTTCATAGCATTTTCTCCCTTTAAACAAAAAGGAATCAAAGGATTGTCAAGAATGGGTATTCTTTTGCACTGACAATTTAATTTCAAACTTAATTATTCTTTACGTTAAGATCTATAAGTTCATGGTTTAATTATGTGTAATTATAAGTTCGATTAGTGGTAATTGCACGTAAATTGACTTTCTACGTACATCCCTCGTTTCTACTCGTCACCGAATCTTTGGAGTGGGTGTTTGTATGATGGTGTGTCTCTTGTTTAACCCCACCGTTAGCAATATTCAAACTTTATGTCAGTTCTATAAATACATGGGCCTGGACTAAACGTTCCTGTAATTGACATCACGAGAATTCATGACGAAACAAACTGTTTAGGGGATGACATTAACTGCAGGGCTGATGAAGTTTAATGCTATAAGTAAATACTGTTTTATATTTATTTTTTTGCAGTCACAAACAGAGAAGGTTACTCGATACCAGTCCTTAAATCAAATGTTCCTGCGAATGACTTCCCCACCACGTCTAACCTGATCAATTCATTATTCAATAGTTCCTGCGGAAAGCTCCCTTTAATATATCATATGGTCTTTCTTTTAGACAAAAGCTATCGCCCAAACGTTCTCTCTTATCTCACCCGTCCTATCCTGTGATCTGTTATTACTGCAGTTAAATTTCATACACTAACTTACTGGTCTCAAGATATTTGTTTGCTGTGTCCTTATCGATAGTGTCTGCAGAAACGTTCTTTTCCATATCTGACCAGGTAAGTCCAACTATCAATAGTTTCTGCGGTAGGACTTCACCATATCTCACCTGGTAAGTACTATAATAGTTTCTGTGGGCAAGTTCAATTTCGTAGCTCACCTGGTCAATTCTACGATCAATAGTTCCTGCGGAAAGGTTCTCTTCCATAGCTCACCTAGTCATTCTGCAACTAATAGTTCCTGCGGAAAGCTTCTCTTCCAAAGCTCACCTCGTCATTCTGCAATTAATAGTTCCCGCGAAAAGGCTCTCTTCCATAGCTCACCAAGTCAATTCTACAATTACTAGTTCCCGCGAAAAGGCTCTCTTCCATAGCTCGCAAAGTCAATTCTACAATAAAATTACTAGTTCCTGTGAAAAGGCTTTCATCGTATCTCACCAGGTCTATTTTTCAAACAATATTTCCTGAGGAAACATTCTCTCACATAGGTCATCCTACCAACTCTATAACCAATATTTCCTGCGGAAGGACTCTAACCATATCTCACCTTTCCTTCAGTCAAAGTTAGTGCAGTCATCATATATATCTCACCTGGCCTATCTTGTGTACACCGGTCATCATGTCTTTGTGCAGCACGTGAAACACGAACACGTGACCTAGCAGTTTGGGGTTCTCCCTGTTGATCTCAAACACACACTGGTGGTGCCATACTGGATCTTGAGTATTTTGTCGGACTTTAGTTTTGTGTTTGCCCTCTCTGATTCCATTGACGTACATCTCAACCTTGACGTATGGGTCTGAAAGTGAAGAAACCAAGGGTGAGATTTGCACCGATTGGAGCTATACTTTACCTCAAGTAAGTATTGGCAGGGGCAGTCACCATTACGTCATAGTAATACGTCTTTAAATAGCTTTAACAAACAAACAATCAAATAAATAGATATATAATATGCGCTAAATGTAAACACTGTTTCTAAAACATAAAGTAGAGCTTGTCTTTTCTGAAAGTGTAAATGCATTCGGAAACTTCCCATCTGTCCATCTGAGCATTGAGATGCTTGTATAGTTCTGATCAAAATGGTTGAGCTAAATCGGAATGAGATCAGTTTTCTTCATCAATTTTCTTCAGTTGAGGGAGATAAATTACTGCAGTCTTGGTTGCCACAACCGTGTAGTAGATTGCCATTGCAACTTCTTTTAACTACGTCACTAAATTGCATCATTGTGACTTGACGTCATAATTAATGCTACTTTAGGCAAAACCTATACACAGAGAATCTTTACCCGTTATTATTCCCCAGGAAAAATAAATAAGTCGGGTAAGGACTCCTTACGCATTAAAATAGTTCAATAACAAAGAATTTTGAAATACATATATAACTTAAAAAGAATTTATATAGACAAGCTGACACCCTTTTGACGACACAGTTTTGTCATCCATGCAGACTCTTCAACACAAAAACGTACAATATCGAGACCCCGTTTGTCTCGAAGAACGGATGGCTGTTTTTATGGTCCCGAGGAGTCGACACACTACCACAGTGCATCATCAAACAGATTCTTTCGCAAGAATGTTGGGCAACTACGTGATATCAAAAGACTCAACTATGTAATCAGCGACACCTTTAATGTTCTCACTGCATCTAGAAAATCTCAACCCCTGCGTTACATCTCCAACATAACTCCCAAAAACGCTAACCATCACTTCAAACAAAATTACCCAAAATTAGACCTTAAACATACCGCAGCTTTGGTATGGGATTACCACAGACATACCAAGAATGGGCCGTGGGCGTGTTTGTTTCAGATGTGCGAGACTCACTTATTGCTCCTAACAGCGACACACGAGGAAGGTTGCGTCCTTCCAAGACGCTGAAGACAATCTTCCCCGCAACTGGCTGAAAACAACCGGATATCCGCAGATCCCCTTGGTGGAGCTGAAAATATAACCCACAATTTCAGACTTTGTTCATAGAAAGGCTTAGTTACATTAGCAAGTAGAGAGTATGGGAACTAGGGGATTGTAATTGCTAGAGGCACTTTGTACTTCTTTGCGACAAAACAGGATGTGGAAAAGAAATTTGTCATCAACGTCTTTGTGCATTGTCAGTGTCACAGGGATGTTTTGAGTGCAAAGTTTGAGAAGATAATTTTTATTGTTCTTTTTTTAACCTTAGCCGCTGGATGTATAACCAGAGAATTGTTTTCCTTGGCGTATGACTTGGATATCATTTTACAGTATGATCTTCACCCACATATACTTGTTGTTGGTTCTAAAACTGTACAAGATCAGGCGATAAAATCAGACAAAAATATACCTTCTTTGTAAGGCCACTTTAGTGTGGTGGGTGGGCGTTGGTGGTGTTTTGACATTCAGCTATGTTACACAGTGGGGCACATCATGGACATTTATTTCACTTGCATGGACAAAGATCATAAAGTTGGATTTGAACCCGACCAGTTAAATGTTCATCCTACTTGTATGACTTGCACTTAGATCAGCGCACCATTATGTCCCATACATATTTAGCATTTTTATTTTTCAGCATTATTTAGTCCTTTCAGACACTTGAGATCCTTGGACATATTGAGAAATTTCCTAGATTAGAAATTGTATTCAATGTTGAATGTTTTAAATTTCCCTAGAAACGGTGTCCGACATAAGTCCTGAACAATGCATGTCCAATATAACTACAACCACAGTATCTATTATTGAAAACTATACTGCAAGGTACCATGGAATCGCCATTGTTATCTGGGACCAGACGGCTGTAATGCCAGTGAATCTGTTCCTAAAGCATCTCTGTACAACTGTCTACCTGCAGACCGGAAATCGCCACATCATGAGCAATATCCCTGGAGACCGACTAAGCGGGGCTATATTGACTAGCCGGGAAGGACAGCTTAGATTGGACAGATAACTAACAGTTACGGCTGGGCCAAACAGCTGTTGAACCGATCGGCGTACTCGTGTCAGCAGCTTGTTCTCAAGCCTCTCGACGAGCCGTGGAACGATAAACACAACACTCTGTGGGACTTAGCACTGCGACAGGGCGACTGGGCTTGACATTGATTACTTGCTGTCATTAAGTCTTAGCTAAGTGTGAAATACACCAGACAGGAATGGCTATTTACGCCGAGAGACATTGGTTACGAATTAGGGTCGGTGTCGTTTGCTTATATTTATACGGTAGCGCTGTGTCACATTGTTACAATTGAAAAAAATACTTGGTTGTTGAGAATATTCATCAGTGTTATACGCTGAGTGTTATATAAGGCGTTAACAGTTGAACATTTAGAAATCCTCTTTGAACAAAGTCCAACACCATTAGGAACTTGTTGTCTGACAGGCGAACGGGCACTTGAGATTTACCAAGTGATGACTTATTGTCACAGACGCCGACTACGTCACCTGCACCACCGACACTTAAACAACTACACCGTGATATTATCACGCTTACAATCCAACCTAATTGATGGATTATAATTTTACAGTATATACGCATTGCGTGTCTTTGAAGGAACACATTGGAATTATAGCCGTGTACTTGACATATTCCATTCACAAGTGAGTGAGTGAGTATGGGTTTACGCTGCTTTTAGCAATATTCCAGCAACATCACGGCGGGGGACACCAGAAATGGGCTTCACACATTGTACCCATGTGGGGAATCGAACCCGAGTCTTCAGCGTGACGAGCGGACGCTTTAACCATTAGGCTACTCCACCGACCCTATTCAATTCATGTATTCTATACGCTGTACATCTGTAAGATGAGCGAGATATTTAAAAGTCAAATGTTGGATGATAGAAGGTTTGATACATATCCCAGATCACCCTGCGAATTTAATTCTAAAGATTCTGAAATACCCCAAAAGATTCTTTTCTCAAGAGAATACTACTTTGCCGTAATTTATTAGCTCCACAGCTGAATATGCCGATTTGACTGACTTTGTTCCCAGTACTCAACGGATGTGGTAATATGAGAATTACTGCTGCCAAATATTCACAGGAACAGTAAATGTCCTGAAAATCGCTTTGGAATCGTGTTCCCTACACAATTTCTGACGAAGCACGTTTGTCTTGGGTACAAAGTGAAACCTCATATTTAATTGCACAAACCGAAATCGATTGTCTAATGATTCAATTTGTTACAGTTCTTTACCAACACTCATTACGATGAGTGTTATCTGTTCAGATATTCATAGCGTCTTTCATTGCTCTGTAATTGCAGAATTTCTGCGTTCGCCTTCTAATATTATCAATACAATTAAAGGGCAGATGTGATCCGCCATCTTGCCATATGGACATAAAGTAAATTTAAGCAACATAACTATTTCTAATAAGATAGAAGGAGTATTGTTAAAATTGACCCAATTGTCATTTTTCCTAGGACGAAAATATAGAAAATAGCAGTATCAAGGGCTACCAGAGTTTTCTTTTAAAAACCACACTCCTAAGTAATGGAAGTTTTCGTGTGTAAAAAATTCCACGGTTTCTAATTTGTTTGAAGCCTTAAGCCGGAGCCTTCACTGAGACACTTTTCTGAAATGATAAGAAGCGTTAATTTCCCACGAGAGGGGCTTTACGTCGATAGGTTTTGCTTTAATTCAGAACTTGGTCGCCATTTCGAAAAGTAAATGCAAGAATTAGCGCTTGACCTTGCCGACAGCATGACCACAAATTGATTAAATGGTCGTGTGATTTAGGTGTTATCATTCTGAAGCTATCCTAACAACTGCAGACCATACAAGACGGTCTGGTGCGTGTTGGACACCCATATTACTCTATCCATTTATGTTTCTACTCTTGACACCCTAGAGAAATTTAAAGGCGATTATCTCAGAGCGAGGGCGACCTGAAAGGAAGCATTGTAATTCCGCTGATAACGATAGGCAATATCCTAGAGAACAATAACGTTGTCGAAAGTAGGACTGGATTTTTTTTAAAATTAATTGTTTGTACCATAACACCTTTCTTCAAACAAAACAAAGGTGTCACGGTATTTTCAAGATGGATAATATGTTATTGCTAAATTGGTTTCTGGTAAGTTCTTCCCTTTCAAAGATCTTAACCTTAAACAGATCGAAAGCGTCTGTCCAAGTATTGAAATTACGATAATTATGGAGGCTTCTGGAGAAAGGGCCAAGTTAAGTTTCATATTTGTTTTGAGTAACATATTTTGACACTGTGTAATGGTGCAAATCCTTGGTATGTTCCTTGCATCTGTTTTGTGGTTGTGTCACAGGTATACCTGCTAGCCTTTCCTACAGCTCCAAGTCCATAGATGTTGTAGTGCCGACGTTGACATGATAAGAATACATACTGGCTTTCAGAAAGTGGTCAGATGTAGCAAATGTCACAAATAGCATTAACCCTTTCTTAAAGGAAAGAATCTAGTGCCTTTATTTTGGGTGGGCACTTTGTTTACCCCTCTGTCAAGTCATACGTCTTATTTATTACATACCAGGAATTACATTACATTTAAATGATAGTCATGAACAGTCATGGCTTGAAACGTGTAATAAAGCATAAGCAACGATAAACAGTTGGGGTTGGACTCAATAAGTGACTTCATAGGACTCCCAATGCCCATTAGATCACAGATAAGAGTGAAGACGTGGGACATTATTCTAGCTAGGAATCTCCACGGGTACGTTCTTTGTAACATCTGTTCCATTAGTATCCGTACAACGTATTGAACGTATACAATTCTACTGTATTACCATACCCATCTATGTCTCAAAGCTGTTCTAGCATACCATCACGCTGGAGCTCATGCTACCAAAAGCCTCGACCGAAGTGCACCTTCGTTCAAAAACCTTACGCAATGCTATTAAAGTGTTCCGGAATATTCGGAGATTTACTGCATCAGTCGGTGACACAAAGTAGTTCTGGAACTTATAATGAGGATAAAGACATGTTAAATTCCTAAAACTAATGACAAGCTTTATCCTCGTTCAACTGCAGTTTAAGGCCGATGCCAAAGACGAAAATAGAGTTAAACGTTGTAAAGAATTACCAAACGAAATTGCCTCTATGATCACCGTATATATTTTCTGCACGTATCTCTGGTCCCAAGTCTGGACCACGTACTGCCCTAAACGTCTCGGTAATACATAGTGTCTGGATATTAATAGTAACTACATAATAACAATGATATTGTTTCTAAATGTAAAGAGCACTTGTTAGGCGGCTATGTCTGGGCCATGATGGAACATTCGACGTTTTCTTTACGAGAGACGTCCAATATACCTGTTAACCTATACAATCTCCAATGTCGGCGTTAGAAACGCAACATCTACATGCTCTGAGATAGAGGTATGTGATATCAATAAGTTAGCCACATTAGAGATTTATCATCTGGTTGTAAAGATGTCTGGGCATAGAAGTCAGACATAGCGTTATAATGTGCATGCTATCGTTTTGATGAAGGACAATAGGCACTGGTCAATCTAGACATTTGTAGAAAGGGCTACCAAACGAGGTGAGGTAATGCGTCTGAAAGGAAGGTATTCTAAGTGAGAATGTTTCACCTTAGAGGCTGGGTACTGGATGAAACCAAGGACAGAGGGAGATTTAAGATCTTATCCATCTACAATGTACCCGTGGGGACTGTGATCCAGATCCAACACCTTCATGTGCTGGTCGTAAGAGGTGACTACGTGGATTGGGTGGTCAAGTTAGATGACATTGATGACCGTATGTCATGTCCCGATGGTGTTGGACTTTTCTAAGATATGTATCACAGGGTGGTATTGGTCCTTTGCAACCCATGCGTGTTCCTAAGAGGCGACTAACGTGATCTTGTGACCAGGAACGCTGACTTGGTTAAATCATGTCACCGCACGCCACGTAAATCCATGCTCTTGACATGAACCAACAGATTTTCTGGTCCAGACTTGACTATTAACAGACCACCACCATGAATCTGGATTTTGCAGAGTGCGGCGTTGAACAAAATACAAACACGACACCTTTCATTTCCTGTTTCAAACAGAATGTCTTTCACTGTACGTGTTTTTCGGTCCATCCAGCTGAGGTTTTTAATCATCTTAAACCTGAGGCAATGTTATATAATTAACAAAGGACGGTCCATTAGCACACATAACCTACTGAGCAGATTACTTTGGCTCAACGTACGCAAACACTTTCTGAATACATCCCTGCACAGCTAAACCCCGTGAATGATTTCATGGACCACAGAAGAGCTTAGATGGGCCATGATGGTGGTAATTTGATGAATGCAAATCAGTGTACAACATTTCATTATAAACAACGGTACCGTGGCACATTTATGTAGGCCAAATGTGACAATATCAGCACATGTTTGCACAACTGAAGTTGTTTGATTCAATAAGCCATGACATATACAGCTTTAACGACAGTCTACGCCATCATCGGCGATGTAGTTGTCTGGTGCTAGATGACCTGGACATTTTGATCTGTGATACATAGTTCACAAGTAATTATGTCATAATGTATGGATAGTGTTAGCTGTCTGATGCTTAATGGTCGTCTGACCGGTGATGGGAATTTGATATAGCACGAAATACAGAACAGTGCCATAGTCCGAGGTAAAACAGTTAGGGCATAATGGTATTATTTGGTAAGTCAATATGGTATTGTGCGAGAAGATATGGTGAAATGTTGTGTATAACATGATAATGCAATGTATGCCATTATGATATTGCATGGTATGACATGATATTGCAAGGTATGCCATTATGATATTGTATGGTATGCCATTATATTGTATTTAATGTTAGGACTTCATTTTGATATATGCATTCATCATTTAGCTTGAGCTTACGACATAAAAACATGTGTATCATACCCAATAACATAAGTAAGCAAATTACATAACCAGAAGTGGGACTTATTTCACATGAGCATCTTCGTATTGTCAAAATCTCCAGAAGACAATACAGTCAGCGGTTTCAAATTATAAATGTGTTTGGTGGAGTCAACGCTAGGTTTGCGGCCAACGTTATGATATACCACATCAAGGGACATAGCTCTAAAATAAACTAGACTCCGTCTATTGAAGTTTCGAGCGTTTGCGTGCATTCATCCCGTACCAGTTTAGTAGCCGGGCAATACGGCTCATATGGATTTTCGGCCCTAGGGCTATTATGGCTGATATGCATTTTCGCCCGGGTGGTCAATATGGACGTATGCCGACAGCAAGTATTGTATGTGTAAAATGGTCCATATAATTGATAGGTTTATGATAACATGGTACAACACAACCCTCGACTCCAATATAATTAACTTACCCTGTAGACTGTTTGTGGCATGAGGGTCAAGTCAACCAGACCACTGGTCAGTTTCTCAACATCCGTCAGTTTGACTGACCCTACCCCCACCAGGTGGCGCCGTGACACGTGATGTGAGGAGTACACTTGGAACTCCAGAGCAAATTCTTCGTTGATTTCCGTTGGCACGATGTCTTTGATGGTAAACTTTTCCAAAAACAGTGGATCCTAGAAAAGCCATGATACTTCCAGTAAATACACGGTTATTATTGAACAAATACATTATGGAACATACATGAGTGTTACAAAATACGCAATGGCTATGTGTCAGATATCAGACAGAATAATATTTGTCACGTTGTCTCTAACTAAAGTTAACTCAGAGTTCGTTTGTTTGTTGTTTAACACTGCACTCAGCAATATTCCAGCTATATGGCGGTGGTCTGTAAATAATCGAGTCTGGACCATACAATCCAGTGATTAACATCATGAGCATCGATCGATACGATGACATGTGTCAACCAAATCAGCGAGCCAGACCACCCGATCCGTTAGCCGTCTCACGACAAGCATGGGTTACCGAAGACCAATTCTAACCCGGATCTTCATGGGTTACCTCAGAGTAAAGTTACAAATTTCACTATTAGCTGTAAACGGAAGCACTGGTTGAGAGTGAAGGGCAAGGTCACGAAACAGTTATGCAAGTATTTGTTTTTTTGTAATTTAAGGCTAAAGAAGGGGCAGAACGTGACACAAGCTAAACTTATTTCATGTTTATGTATTGATTTAACAGACATGTCAGTAACAGGTGAAAAGTGTGAGTATGACATCATCAGGAAGACACATTATATAGTCATAACTAATAACCACATCACTGTCAGTCGACGGATTATATTAACATTTGATGAGTAACCCACTACATAAGACAAAATGTAAACAGCTCCTCAAACGATTTTATATAACCTCTATATATGAAACTGTTTGTCAACGCTATGACTGTCGTAGGTCTCAAATGCTAACATAGACACACTGCTGTTGTATCTGAACGCCCACTTTGTGAAACGAGGCCCTGGACGTCGTGGAACGATTCGATAGTCAACCAAATATTAAATACTGAGTACTGAATATTGAATACAGAATACTGAATTAGAACTTCACTCACTAACGTACTATCGGTAGAGCAGGATATGCTTACCCACTACTCAAAAACCGTCCTGCTGTTATTGTACAATGATTCGTGACAGCGTTTCTAAAGAATTCCTAGAATGCTGATATTGAAAGTGTAGATGACTTTGTGTATTGGTCACATATATAATGAATAAACAGGACAAGGCGTTATAACTATCATGAACTTTATTGGATGATGTAGTCTGTTGGTAAAAGCTGTCACTCATCACATTGAAAACCATTGTACAAGCAGCCTCCCCCCTCTCTCTCTTTCTCTCTTTTCTTTTCTCTCTCTCTCTCACATACACACGCACACACTTGATTTGCTTGAATAGTAATAAATTCTGACTGTATCATAAAACATTAAAACCCATTTCGCCTCACCTCCATAATGACTACTCTGAGTTCCAAACCGATGGTACCTGTTGACTACAAGAGGGGATACAATATCGCGGCTACTGGCAAGTGCATTCAACTAAGGGTAATCCCATCACATTTAACGTAATGTATAGTTAACAGTGCAATGCAGTTCAGTCGCGTGTTGAATTCCAGACCTCAAACCACTCTATCTGGCAGGTCATTGCGTTCCTGAAAAATGACCTCACCATTTAAGACACATCGCTCGGGACAACATGGAATAGGATTTCTCACAGTCGGTAGCCTAGCTGTTGGTGGAATCAATACTTCTTGAAGAATACGGTACATAAAAGCTGGACAATCATTGGTACAATCCCTACCGTTGTCTTCGTGAGCGTCTTGGTTCTGTATTTGAACGTCCTCCCAGGAACCAAGAAGGCTTTGACATAAGGGTTGACATCGATATCCTTTGGTACTCCAGGAATCACAAGACTCTGAGCCTGAAATCAGCAATATATTGGCCAGATGTTCACATCGTTATTTGATCTGGGAGCTATGAAATGAACATGGAAAGAAAAGGCTGACGATATCATATTTATCGTGAGGCAATGCCTGAGTAACTCGTGTGTAGCAAATTATAGGTGTTACATTATTTTGGCAACGTGGTTAAATGGTAATAGCTGATAATAAAAGTGTTTGAAATGACGGTAACTTTAATAGAAACATGAAAAGTACTTGTGTAAGTAAGAATTGATTGATTATTTATTGAATATATTAAAGAAAGCTGAACTTAAACAGCTCACAATGACTCCTTTCAGATATTTGTAATTTGTAGTTATTACCTGAGATTTCACATTATTAACTATTTTACCAAGAGCTAGGCAAAGTGGAATATTCAAGATGATATGAAATGTTATTGAACGAATCTAATATATACACAAACTAATTTTAAAATGAAGCCTTGTCGTGGCTCAAAACAATCTCCTTAGCCACAGACTGGTAACTACCAGTATGAAAAGTAAGTACCAAACTTTATATTGACAACGTACTAAGATTAGAACCCACTAGCCATTACATATCTGCGAGATCAAAGAGTTTCCATGACAACCACGACTGACATCTAAAAGATTGTATATTTCCCTCAAATCAGAACTCGCCAAAAGATCAAAGTTGCAATTCCTTTCTCCTGTCTTCCTTCACTTTAATCACTGTCATCGAGGTAACAGTTTTTCACAAAAGGCAAACATGTTTGTCATGATTGATGGTTGGATTAACACTCGAAGGCTTAAAACCCGCCATCTTTACAGTCTATTATGTGATATGCAGCATGCTGTTGAAGAACCGGAAAGATACTTATTATATCTCATTATTCTGTATTAATCATATTTTAAAAAGGGAATCTCATTATTAAAAGGATATAATGCCCCTACAATATGATGAGTGAGTAACCCGGTACTTCATGATCACCGAGAATTATTGTGGAACCAATGAGCTTAAGAATAACTGGAATAACATACGTTAAAGGAGAAAATTCTTTTCCATATTCATTCGACATATTTGCTTAAGGAAGAGTCGAAATATGATTCCGGCTATACCATTTATAAGGAGAGGTAAATATATATATGGTTATAGCCTGTTTACCAATCCGTTAATTAAATAATGAATAAATGTTGTTTAAAACATATATAAGCATATGTGTATGAATAACCATCAAATAGTGATGGTACTAGATGTATCTTTGGTTTCTAATCCAAACAGGTGAAACTTAAAGATTCCATATTTTTTAAAACCACGCTGAAACTTTCAAAATGTGTATCCACTTTACGTTTTACTCAAGAATGCGTGAAATACTTTGTAAAATATATCCAACCTTTCATTTCAACTGAATAAAAATAGGAACAAAATAAAAACCTTCATCCCCAAACCAACTATCCATCAAATTAAAAACGGAACCCATTTTCATTTCAGTACTATGACGTTATCTTGGAATAAACTTCACTTCAGTAGTAACACTTGCAACTCATTAAGTGACCATATCTTTGAAAGAACATTTTGTACCTGTTTTACACAACCCGTAATGATCGCTTATATTGGATCTATTCTATCAGCCTGCGTATTCAAAGGTATATATCTATAACCACAAGCTTAACATTAAAATTAACAAAGCCATTTCTCTAATCATAAGAAATATCCGCTAAAAGGTACAGTCGCACAGTTGTAAATGCCTGATTATATCATGAGTATGTATTGTAGAACATGATGAAATCAAACTCTGTCATTGATGTAATCCGTAAGGTTAAATGTCAACCCTAGGGTTACTTACGTATATTATTTCGGTTTCATGAAAATATAATGCATACCACCCCCACCCCCAACCGCACCCCCAAAACAACAAAACAAAACAAAACAACCCCCAAAACCAAACCAAACCAAACCAAACCAAAAAACCCAACAACAACATCATAGCAAAACCAAATAACCAAAAAAATAAAAAATAAATAACAACCCAAACAAAACACAAGGAAAAAAGAAAAAGAATGAAACAAAAACTGTCTGTAGTTTCAGACAGTTGATAATAAGGTTGTAGTATTTCTACTCTTACTTTCTACTTTTTGTGTGTGTAAATATGTTGGTGAGGAAGGTACAGACGAATACTAAAAAGTATTCGCTACAAGTTGCGGAATATCTAAAAGCCGTGTTATTGCAGTTTGAAAAACCCCTCCAGGCAAGGTACAAATACAGCACTCCTGCCGACCAAAAATAACTCAGATGCCCTGACACCGAAACGAAATTTTCTTGTAAACAAAATTAAATGTTATTCAGCGTAACGCCACCTACAAGGCATCTTGTGACAAGCAGCTCTAAGACCAGGGATGATACACAGGATTCTACGCTATGAGCCTAATGGAGGACGGGTCATTTAACACTCATTTGAGGTTGGTTGAGGACTCAATATAGACTAGAAAATTGCGATGCCGCGGGTTCTTAAGGGAACCTTAGGAAAATGACATTGATCATATTTGACTGAAGATCGTCGACAGGAAAGCAGTATTCAGCGACAGATGCGTAAGGAAGTAAGCGATTCCGCGTCAAATTGAGACAAAATGACTCTTGGCACTTGAAATCATTATCTTCTATTATGCGAAGGCCCGTAGATTTAAAGCCAACAGGTCTGGCATAGTTGAAGGGGAAAGGTGTATATTAGAGTATTCAACGACGCCCTGGAAAGCAGAGTGCTTGAGATCTTGAATAATATCCACTATAATAGCTCAATGCGTCAAGATGAACTAATTAGCACTGAAAGGTATGTTGGACAAATCCCTATTGAGTGACGTTTTTTTATTCTGTAACTGGTCTAAAATATAAAAATGAACACTTGGCGTTGTAATGTGTGGCTACATTAAATAAGAAAACTGCCTCCGTTTTAACTAACTACTTTCTCTTCTATACAACGTTTCCTGTGTCCAAGCTGTAGGCAATAAGCGTATTCTCTCATCAAGGTTTTCTTTGATTCTGGTCCCTAGGCTTCAACAGTTTGAGCATATGATTGGCGTTTAATTGCAGGAATTGTAAATGTCATGATAGAAGAAACTGGTCATATCTGTGTTTAGTTAAAGCCCGTTGTCGCGTAGACATAGGTTCCAAGTAATTTGTTTTACAAAAAATAATTGTTAAAACAATTGTCTGAAATAAATAATGGAAACACGGTTTTCTGCAAATGTCCATATAGAGGGGTTGCCAGACAAAAACGGTGTCGCTGTACGAGGAAGATTGAATGGTTAGGAAAGCCAAGAGTAGAGGAATACATTTTTGGATAGGCGTTCAGAGGTTTGGAAGAACATGAAAACTAAACCCTATTACTTCTGTATTGTTTGTGACGGTGTTTCAGGGTCTCGTCTTGTCCTTTCATTGGATGAAAACAGATTGACCCCACCTTCTGTATTGTTTGGTACAGAGTTTCAGGGATACATTGATTGTAAATGTAAAAAAGGAGATACCTTACCCTTTCATCGAGTGAATACACATGGATCACAATTTCAGTATTGATTGTAAATGTAAAAAAGGATATATCTTGCCCTTTCATCAAATGAATACATATGGATCACAATTTTACTAAAGACTGTAAAGGTGATACAGAGATGTATCTTGACCCTTCATCGAGTGAATGCACATGGATTACAATTTCAGTATTGATTGTAAATGTAAAAAGGATATATCTTGCCTCTTCATCGAGTGAATACATATGTTTCAGTACTGATTGTAAATATAAAAAAGGATATATCTTGCCTCTTCATCGAGTGAATACATATGTTTCAGTACTGATTGTAAATATAAAAAGGATATATCTTGCCTCTTCATCGAGTGAATACATATGTTTCAGTACTGATTGTAAATATAAAAAAGGATATATTTTGCCTCTTCATCGAGTGAATACATATGTTTCAGTACTGATTGTAAATATAAAATGGGATATATTTTGCCTCTTCATCGAGTGAATACATATGTTTCAGTACTGATTGTAAATATAAAATGGGATATATTTTGCCTCTTCATCGAGTGAATACACATGGATCACAATTTCAGTATTGATTGTAAATGTACAAAAGGATATATCGTGCCTCTTCATCGAGTGAATACATATGGGTCACGGTTTCGATATTGACTTAAAGGTGATATTGGGATATATTTTGCCTCTTCATAGAGTGAATACATATGGATCACATTGTTTATACTATTTGTAAAGGTGATGAGGGATATATCGTGTCCCTACAAGATTCACTGGATGGAGGGGCAGGAAATAGCCCTGTAACACCGTCACAAACAGTAGAGAAGTTATTCTCTAACAACATTTATTGTATTCACAACAAAAGAAACAAGAACTGCAAGAAGATATGTTGTAAGGCACATGATTATGCATGTAGGATACTAATGCATGCACCTTTAGCATAAACACTTCTTTACATAAGTGTGTGTATGTAGTAATTGATCATTGTTTCTACGGCTAATCATTTAAAGATATATATATTGACGTGAATGAAGGACAAGGCTCAGACAACTTCGCAGTTCCATCATTTGTCATTTGAGTGGACTAACGCTTTAGAATGCATAGATCCATTTGCCTATTAATGAATGTCATAATTACACACACGCACGCACGCACGCACGCAAACACACACACATGCACAGGCACACAATGCCACCCTTACATGGCCCTTCCTGTACACACAAATGTAGAAAGAATTGGACATGGGCATCAAGGCCAAAGTGTCCCTCTTAAACGTGTAGAGGCTTAAAGCGCACACCGACACTTACCTCGACTATGATGACTGTCAGCGTGGTGTTGTCGTGGGAGAATTGTAGCTGCACCTTCAGATTCCCTGTGGGTTGCACGGGCGGGGCGTACCTCGGGATCATCTCTTCCAGGTTCAGGTCATGCAGGGCAACTGGAGTGTCTGGCAGACCTATACTGCCCTGACGCTGTAACAAACATAAGTCACACTTTAGACAGCTGTACAGGGCAACCGAAATGTCTGACAGACCTATACTGCCCTGACGCTGTAACAAACATAAGTCACACTTTAGACAGCTGTACAGGGCAACCGGAAATGTCTGGACAGACCTATACTGCCCTGACGCTGTAACAAACATAAGTCACACTTTAGACAGCTGTACAGGGCAACCGAAGTGTCTGGCAGACCTATACTGCCCTGACGCTGTAACAAACATAAGTCACACTTTAGACAGCTGTACAGGGCAACCGAAGTGTCTGGCAGACCTATACTGCCCTGACGCTGTAACAAACATAAGTCACACTTTAGACAGCTGTACAGGGCAACTGGAGTGTCTGGCAGACCTATACTGCCCTGATGCTGTAACAAACATAAGTCACACTTTAGACAGCTGTACAGGGCAACCGAAGTGTCTGGCAGACCTATACTGCCCTGACGCTGTAACAAACATAAGTCACACTTTAGACAGCTGTACAGGGCAACCGGAGTGTCTGGCAGACCTATACTGCCCCGATGCTGTAACAAACATAAGTCACACTTTAGACAGCTGTACAGGGCAACCGAAGTGTCTGGTAGACCTATACTGCCCTGACGCTGTAACAAACATAAGTCACACTTTAGACAGCTGTACAGGGCAACCGAAGTGTCTGACAGACCTATACTGCCCTGACGCTGTAACAAACATAAGTCACACTTTAGACAGCTGTACAGGGCAACCGAAGTGTCTGGTAGACCTATACTGCCCTGATGCTGTAACAAACATAAGTCACAGCTGTACAGGGCAACTGTGACACTTAAGACACGTTGCGCAGAACAACCCGCTTACGTTATAACATATATAACACACTATTCTATCCTTTTTGATCCAGGTAATAGTTAAACATGGAATTCCCAAAACGTAGTCGCCAAGAGTTGCTTTCACAGAGCTTACAACACTCTCCAACACGGAACATACACGTTAAACTTGGATACATTGAATCCAGAGCCTGTGATAAACACACGGTATAACTTCGTCGAAGCCTCTCCCTACTGCAGCCTCATTGTTTACAAAGAACCGCTTTCCCAAATAGACGTGTATAGTCACCCCCTTTACAACCGATCAGCAAAGTTGAAAGCTGTCAAGTTGTCACTCTTTGAATCTGTCGACATTTGTTGATTACTATGGGGACTGCTCCCTACAATGCTTCCTGAGACCAATTATATTCCTTAGACCGTGCCCTCCACTGATGGTTTTGACAAACGCCTGTCTGTATCGGACACCGGGTGTCTTGATTGGGTCTTTAGGGTCTTGATCGGGTCTTGATTGAGTCATTAGGGTCTTGATTGTGTCAGCCCTAGTGTGATGGCACCGGTATAGGCAGGCGTGTGCTTATATTATCAAACACATATTTTTGACGTGGTATGGAACTCTGTTTTTTTCTACCAATATCAGTTCAGAAATTAATTCGTGACAGGCTCAGTACTTGCTAAAGTCTAGGAAATATCGACAGACATCATAATGAATATATTCCGCAAAATGACATCTTTTATCAATTGATCGCGGTCAGGTTGCAGCCTCTTTTCTCCTTATCGTGGAGATATTGAATGTTTGTGTCACATTTGATCCCTTCAACCATCACATAAAAAGTGATGGTTCCAAGAAATGAAAGCAAATTAGCGTAGATTAACTTCATAGGAATTTGCGTCCGTCCTCAAGAGGTCATAGATTTCCGTTTCTAACTGTATTTTGTACATCACAAACACATAGTCGGGAGGGTATTTGCATTTAACTATAACCATAGACTGTTGAAACCGATTTCATAACATGATTTCTTCCCTAATCCCTACCCATGGTCTGACGTGCAGGTATCAGAGGCTCCGTAGGCCCAAGCAATACTCAACATCATTGTCGATATTGTACAGAATATTGGTTCTGCCATAAATCCCCCATAACATCATTGTCGATATTGTACATTAACATCATTGTCGATATTGTACAGAGTATTGGTTCTGCCATAAATCCCCATAACGATATTGTATTGGTTCTGCCATAAATCCCCCATAACATCATTGTCGATATTGTATTGGTTCTGCCATAAATCCCCCATAACATCATTGTCGATATTGTACAGAATATTGGTTCTGCCATAAATCCCCCATAACATCATTGTCGATATTGTACAGAATATTGGTTCTGCCATAAATCCCCCATAACATCATTGTCGATATTGTACAGAATATTGGTTCTGCCATAAATCCCCCATAACATCATTGTCGATATTGTACAGAATATTGGTTCTGCCATAAATCCCCCATAACATCATTGTCGATATTGTACATTGGTTCATAAATCCCCATAACATCATTGTCGTATTTGCATTATTGTACAGAATATTGGTTCTGCCATAACATCATTGTCGATATTGTACAGAATATTGGTTCTGGATCATTGCGACATTCAGTATTTGCATTCCATTTGCGAGCGGAGATTTTGTTCTATTTCCTATGCTACAACGATAGTAACCTGAAGGATTATTAAAGTTGTGTAGTGAACTGCACGACTACTAATGTCGTTAATTGGAATTCTACATGCAACATCACGGAGTCATTTCACAAGTTTGTCGTGCCATGGCACATAGTAAAAAGCCATATTCAGCATCACACAACCCTTTAATATTCGCAGATCGTGATTAATCCTTGAATTGATAAGCAAAAGCAAACCCATGCAAGGTTCGTCTTGTGTTATGCCAACAGACCTTCTTCATAGAACTACTCAGAACACCGTCTTATTGGCAATCTCACACGGCTAAATGAGAAAAAAAAGCCAAACCCATTTACGGCAGGACAATGGCAGCAAGGTAGTCAACGAGAAGCTTGATCAACATAGCGTGTTTGTTTTAGGGTTTTCTATAGGCCTTTGGACACCTGACGTTGCTTCACATCTTGGATTTAGTTGTGTGCGATTAGTTGATTTGTTGGTCTGTTATTTCAGCCGAAAATAACTTATACTATCTTCAATAAAATGTTGGACCTAGCGGAAACTAGTAACTAGTGTTTATGTTGCTGAGCAGGACTCGCCAACGAAACTGCTTCGTCAATTAGAGGCCAATGGATGTTTTCTACGAATTAGGACCTCGTGAAGCTGCTTCAGAACAAAAACAACGGTGCCTATTCCCCCTTTCCGATTGCCCCAGCATACTTTACGGGTTTGTCGGAAGTCACCTTCCGTTGCAATCGATTCCCTTTGTATTTTCGTGCTCCTCTTTCACGTGAATAATCTTCGTCCGTCTCATGCACATCCTTTCATGATTCGATTATGTTATTAACAAGGTAGATAACTGCTCTTGCCGGACAAATGTTGTGGTTGCCTGTCAATCCTAATGGATCAGTCGTTGCTATAGTTACCTATTACATCATCGTGTTTATTTTCAATAAATTTTTCAAATATCCGAGCTAAAGTCCTTCAGTTAATCCGGCGGCTTCAAGAAGTTGTTAATAACCTAATCGATTTTCAATTTAGCAGGTATGAAGGATGAAAGGTAGTGCAATGAAGGCATCGGATCGATCATATTAATGTCAACATTAATGAAGGAGACAATTCCGTCAATGTATGACTACAAAGTGTTAGCATGTACACAACAAACTAAACCAAGTCAAGACGATATAGCCTTAGGGGAACGCCCTCGTTTGTTTGTTTGATCCCGCACTCGGCAATATACCAGCTATATATAGTCTGTAAACTAGATAATAGACTCTGGACTAGATAATCCAGTGATTGGTGTTGTGGGCAAACAACCAAGCCACCGGGCTAGACACCCAATACATCTGGTTGTCACTGGACCAGTACAGGTTGCTAGGGACCTATTCTAATTAACCTGGAATCCAAGGGAGATTCGCTTTATTCAGTCTCGTGTCCTTGTGACATTAACAGAAACCAAACATAAACCTGTAAAATTTAATATGGTATACAAAAAAAGTAATAATTATCATGCATAAAAATGAAGATGAATTCCTTGAGTTCTATGTACGCAAGAGAAAATGTCATGGTATGTGTTTGTATCTATGAAGGGCAACAGGTAAATGTCATGGCATTGTGTCTATGAATGCAACATGTAAATGTCATGGTATTGTATCTATGAAGGCAACAGGTAAATGTCATGGTATTGTGTCTATGAAGGCAACAGGTAAATGTCATGGTATTGTATCTATGAATGCAACATGTAAACGTCATGGTATTGTATCTATGAATGCAACATGTAAACGTCATGGTATTGTATCTATGAATGCAACATGTAAACGTCATGGTATTGTATCTATGAAGGCAACAGTAAATGTCATGGTATTGTGTTTGTAATCTATGAAGGCAACGGGTAAATGTCATGGTATTGCGTATGTATCTATGAAGGCAACAGGTAAATGTCATGGTATTGTGTATTCATCTATTAAGGCAACAGGTAAATGTCATGGTATTGTGTATTCATCTATTAAGGCAACAGGTAAATGTCATGGTATTGTGTATTCATCTATTAAGTCAACAGGTACAATGTCATAGGAAAATGTCATGGTATTGTGTATTCATCTATTAAGGCAACAGGTAAATGTCATGGTATTGTGTATGTATCTATGAAGGCAACAGGTAAATGTCATGGTATTGTGTTTGTAATCTATGAAGGCAACAGGTAAATGTCATGGTATTGTGTATGTATCTATGAAGGCAACAGGTAAATGTCATGGTATTGTGTATGTATCTATGAAGGCAACAGGTAAATGTCATGGTATTGTGTATGTATCTATGAAGGCAACAGGTAAATGTCATGGTATTGTGTATGTATCTATGAAGGCAACAGGTAAATGTCATGGTATTGTGTATGTATCTATGCAGGCAACAGGTAAATGTCATGGTATTGCGTATGTATCTTTGAAGGCAACAGGTAAATTTCATGGTATTGTGTATGTAACAATGGAGGCAACAGGTAAATGTCATGGTAT